ATAATCAATGATCCCTACACTACTAAACGTTTTTTTTTACCTTAACCTTCACTACGATATTATGATAACCTTACTGCCAAACTCTTAAAACTATTTTACTACATTATGATAATGATAGAGTGATACACTTCAATACTAAACTCTGTGATATTGACCTGCAGTATGTATGACAATCATACTAAACTTTATGACATTTGCATACAGTATGACAATCATACTAAACTCTATGACATTTACCTGCAGTATGACAATCATACTAAACTTTATGACATTTACCTGCAGTATGACAATCATACTTAACTCTATGACATTTACATGAAATGACAATCATACTAAATACTATGACATTTACCTGCAGTATGACAATCATACTAAACTATATGACATTTATCTGCAGTATGACAATCATACTAAACTATATGAAATTTACCTGCAGTATGACAATCATACTAAACTCTATGACATTTACCTGCAGTATTATATGACATTTATCTGCAGTATGACAATCATACTAAACTATATGAAATTTACCTGCAGTATGACAATCATACTAAACTTGATGACATTTACATGCAGTATGACAATCATACTTAACTCTATGACATTTACATGACATGACAATCATACTAAATACTATGACATTTACCTGCAGTATGACAATCATACTAAACTCTATTACATTTACATGCAGTATGACAATCATACTTAACTCTATGACATTTACAAACAGTATAACAATCATACTAAACTCTATTACATTTACATGCAGTATGACAATCATACTTAACTCTATGACAATTACCTGCAGTATGACAATCATACTTAACTCTATGACATATACATGCAGTATGACAACCATACTAAACTCTATGAAATTTACCTGCAGTATGACAATCATACTAAACTCTATTACATTTACATGCAGTATGACAATCATACTTAACTCTATGACAATTACCTGCAGTATGACAATCATACTTAACTCTATGACATTTACGAGCAGTATGACAATCATACTAAACTCTATGACATTTACATGCAGGATGACAATCATACTTAACTCTATGACATTTACATGCAGTTTGTCAATCATACTTAACTCTATGACATTTACATGCAGTTTGTCAATCATACTTAACTCTATGACATTTACATGCAGTTTGTCAATCATACTTAACTCTATGACATTTACATGACATGACAATCATACTAAATACTATGACATTTACCTGCAGTATGACAATCATACTTAACTCTATGACAATTACCTGCAGTATGACAATCATACTTAACTCTATGACAATTACCTGCAGTATGACAATCATACTTAACTCTATGACATATACATGCAGTATGACAACCATACTAAACTCTATGACATTTACCGGCAGTATGACAATCATACTTAACTCTATGACATTTACCTGCAGTATGACAATCCTACTAAACTATATGACATTTACATGCAGTATGACAATCATACTTAACTCTATGACATATACCTGCAGTATGACAACCATACTAAACTCTATGACATTTACCTGCAGTATGACAATCATACTGCAGGTAAATGTCATAAAGTTTAGTACGATTGTCATGCTGCATGTAAATGTCATAGAGTTTAGTAGGATTGTCATACTGCATGTAAATGTCATAGAGTTTAGTAGGATTGTCATACTGCAGGTAAATATCATAGAGTTTAGTATGGTTGACATACTGCAGGTATATGTCATAGAGTTAAGTATGATTGACAAACTGCATGTAAATGTCATAAAGTTTAGTACGATTGTCATGCTGCATGTAAATGTCATAAAGTTTAGTACGATTGTCATATTGCATGTAAATGTCATAGAGTGTAGTATGATTGTCATACTGCTTGTAAATGTCATAGAGTTAAGTATGATTGACAAACTGCATGTAAATGGCATAAAGTTTAGAACGATTGTAATACTGCATGTAAATGTCATAGAGTGTAGTATGATTGTCATACTGCTGGCAAATGTCATAGAGTTAAGTATGATTGTTATACTGCATGTAAATGTCATAAAGTTTAGTACGATTGTCAGGCTGCAGGTAAATGTCATAGAGCTTAGTATGGTTGTCATACTGCATGTATATGTCATAGAGTTAAGTATGATTGACAAACTGCATGTAAATGGCATAAAGTTTAGAACGATTGTAATACTGCATGTAAATGTCATAGAGTTAAGTATGATTGTCATACTAAACTCTATGACATTTACATGCAGTATGACAATCGTACTAAACTTTATGACATTTACATGCAGTTTGTCAATCATACTTAACTCTATGACATTTACCTGCAGTATGACAATCATACTTAACTCTATGACATTTACATGCAGTATGACAATCATACTAAACTCTATGACATTTACATGCAGTATGACAATCATAATAAACGCTATGACATTTACCTGCAGTATGACAATCATACTTAACTCTATGACAGTTACCTGCAGTTTGTCAATCATACTTAACTCTATGACATCTACCTGCAGTATGACAATCATACTAAACTCTATGACCTTTACCTGCAGTTTGCCAATCATACTTAACTCTATGACATTTACATGCAGTATGACAATCATACTAAACTCTATGACAGTTACCTGCAGTTTGTCAATCATACTTAACTCTATGACATTTACATGCAGTATAACAATCATACTAAACTCTATGACATTTACATGCAGTATGATAATCATACTTAACTCTATGACATTTACGTGCAGTATGACAACCATACTAAATTCTATGACATTTTCCTGAAGTATAACAATCATACTAAACTCTATGATATTTACATGCAGCATGACAATTATACTAAACTCTATGACATTCAGCTTTAGTATAAAACTGAGTGTCGCCTCATTACCAAACTCAATGATATTTGCCTACTTTACCTGCAGTATGACAATCATACTAAACTCTATAACATTTACCTGCAGTATGACAATCATACTTAACTCTATGACATTTACCTGCAGTATGACAACCATACTAAACTCTATGACATTTTCCTGAAGTATGACAATCATACTAAACTCTATAACATTTACCTGCAGTATGACAACCATACTAAACTCTATGATATTTACATGCAGTATGACAATTATACTAAACTCTATGACATTCAGCTTTAGTATAAAACTGAGTGTCGCCTCATTACCAAACTCAATGATATTTGCCTACAGTATGACAATAATCGTCATAATGCTACCAGGCTCCATAACATTTGCTTACAGTATGACAATGATGGGTCACCTCACGAGATAATTACTAAACTGTACTACATTTAGTTTAAGTATGTCAGTTATGGTCCTTTATTACCAAATTAAATGATAATTTTCTATGAAAATATTCGTCACCTTACTACCAGCCTCTATGACAATTACGTACAGTATGAAAATATCTATCACTTTACTACCAACATCGTTTACCTCTACCTTCAGAACTATAATGGCCGTCACTTAACTTACATATGCCGTGATATTTACCTACACCATGATACGTATCGTCATCTTACTAACAAACCTTATGACAACCTTGCGTTTGAGGATCGTTAACTTACCTTTATCCCAAGTATTAACTCATCAGCCTCCTCAGCTTCATGTGTCACAATTGATTCGCTACTTGATAGCTTGTTTTAGTAAATGCATTTTTCTGAATAAATTTATCTTGATTACCAACAATCAAACAATGTATTTACGCGTACTAGCCAGATCTTTCTACCGGCAAGAAATGTATTTCCTATCATATTCTTTACCATAAATAGACTAAGCTTATTTTACAAGATCAGTTCTACTGAAATTTAAAACTAAAAGCATGAAAGAGACCCATCATAGTGCAGGATTAAAATATTCTCCCTGGTGACAAAAAGTATGCAATGTAGTTCATGTTAAAAAACAACGCTACTTAGACGTTTTGAAAGGAGAATTTTAAGAATAAATAATATATTACTTTTTTTTTTTTGGCTCCAATATTACATTACGTATAGTAAAAGGTACCATTTTTGTGATATCTGAACGGAATTTGTACATAGATATTTTAATTCTGAATAACTGAACTGAACACCTTTTTTTGAATGCAAAGTGTATTTTTAAAAAAAAGTAAGTTTGACAAAGTTTAAATTGTGGCAGATTAATAGAAACCTGTCAAAATAATGATTTTCACCCAAAATCGAATTCAGCGCAAATTCACCGCAGCCATTCGAGGGTTTATACGAATCGAAATAACAACATCAGTAGTTATAATTGTGTTTATTCAGATAAACAATCATAGTACAATTAAAAAAACAACACACAATCACAGTTATAGGCGAGATAAAAGCATAACCAGGTATTGTAACTTAAGTTACGGATCAATAATTATCACAGATATATTGTAACTTAAGTTACGGATCAATAATTATCACAGATATTTTGTAACTTAAGTTACGGATCAATAACTATCACATATAATAATAAATATATATCTTATTATATTATTTATAAATAAAATATATTAATATATTTGGCATACTGTTCATGCTATCACAGAAAAGGGAATTATCACAGTAACATGACATATTACAATCATTTTATTATAATATTGAAAACAAAATATTAAAACATTATTATATATATTTTATAGCGTAAACGTGATTTTGTAAGTACAGTCGTTTGCAATCAATGTAAGCTGTTACAGACACATCAATTCTATGTCGATAGAGCATAGTTTTCCCCCAGGTACCAGTAGTCCCTAGTGACCAGTAGTGAGAGCCATTATACAAGTGTAAACTCGAAGTTAAACTTGCTTGAAGTTTTATTTTTAGAAGATGTATATCAAAGTTCCGTTACAATTATGGGAAGGTTAATTTTGTTTTACAATGAAGATGTTTAAGTTATTGGATAGACTATATATTATATATATATATAGCGATAAATAGTTTTAAATGTCCATGTGACGGTAAAAATATAAATAAAGCAAAACACGAAGATTAGTATAATCGGCTAGCGCTTTCGCCCATCTTGGGGCTCTTCAGGCGATTTTGTATATAATCTATATATAAGGATATATCCTGTAGATGAAGCATGCATTGAGATGCACTACTGATGAGTCAGAGTGTAGGTTGTGTTGCATTTGTAGTGTTTGAAAAAAACCCAGCTTAACCTAAAAAGAACAGAACAACTTGACACAGATTAGGTTGCTGAAACATTAGCCGAGGCAAGAAATCAAGGTAATATTCAACATTTGAAGAAAGCGACCAAATAAATAATGAATTATTAATAAACCAAGATTTGTTGGTCCTACATTTGAACGATTTGAGAAACAGAGCAAAAGAGAATACATAACATTGATGAAGAAAATGACAAAGTCACTGGACCGTACAAACTAGAACCAACACAGCAGTTGCTGCTTGAAATAAGACGTACTGCCCAGGATGTGTATATGGGGTAAGTTTAGTAGGTCTAGGACTCAAACGTGTTTTATACAACACGGCCCTTCGGGCGAGGTGATCTAAAAATAATGAACATTTAAACTATTCATCAAGGCATTAGAAATTTTTAGAAATAATAGGATTGAACAGCAGGCTAGGCCTATATAAGTGTTTCTCCTTTGGTTGGCATGACAAAGACAAAGATGAAACGGTTAGTAAGAAAATATTGATGCAAATTATATACAGTGGAATCTGTATTAACCGAACACTCAAGAGAAATTAAAAAAAACCGGTTGTTTAACAAAAGTGGTAGTTAATAAAGTTTGACCATATTTTGTACAGAATTAAAAAACCCACTATAACCAAACGACTCCTTATTCAGACAACTGTAAACAGACCACCACACCAAGCGCTCATTTACATGTGTATATGACAGGTAGTTTAAAATAACATCGTTCAATAGATCAGGTGAATAACTAAACAATAGTCGAGAGATAATTATGACAGTAAACAAACAACTAAGAGTGTTTGAGAAGAATTGTCATTTCACTGAAAACAAACAACCGACGGAGATTTGTTAAAGTTCTCAACTTACACGACTGTGTTTTCGGTAATTACCTTGATTTTAGCAAACTTGTTACGAAAGATATTGATGTTGAAATGATAGCGGTTCCTGTGGTGATCCAACAGATTGGTTCACGTATATTATTCCTTTATTTTACGATGTAAACTGGAAAGAGAATCCAGTTAAAAATGGCCTAAATAAAGCCGACGGCATGTTGCCGAAAAACGGACCGGTATTATTGTCGTTAGTACTTTGGCGTTGAGAAGTACAGGGATGTTATCAAAGGCTTTTATTATTGATTAGGAATTTAAAACGATATGTTTGCTAATATAAAGATGTTAAGTGCGCAATTGCACTGATAGTTAATGTTCATTTCGCACGAAGGTGTAATACTTATTTTCTAGTTACTAGTTTAGTAAAAATAATATTGATGCAAATTTTATATTATGAAGCAGATGATATAGGGGAGATAAATCCATGTATGTTAAAATTATATACAAATATTTAATTGATATTTTAAGCTATACAATGTGATGAAAAGTAAGGGATTAAACAATAACAAAATGGGGCAATTCAGCTAGAACATTTTAAAATTCATGTAGTATATGTGTAAGATGTATTGCCAGTGTTCTATGTGTTAATCTTTCATCCAATCGAGTTTCAGACAAAAAAATCTCTAACGGCCTATAACGTTCACATATCATCCACTCGAGAAGAATCCAGATTCAACCACAGAACACAGATATGTAGATAGCCGATAACTCTGGTTTCTCCAATGACAGTTTTCACATTATTGATAAAATCATGGTTGTCGTATAGATATAATAAAAATATAATAGTCAATAAGTACAAAAAATCAAAAAATTAATTAAACTACTCTTATCGCGTGATAACTCTTATCGCGTAAACTACCCTTATCGCGTAAACATAATAAAAATCCGGTATACAATGAATTATACATACTTGTATAATAACTTGACAAAACAAACATAAATATATCAAGAAATCGGAATCGTTATAGAAATGGTAACTGAGATATAAACTTGCATTATAAAAACTTATTATAATTTTTGGAAGATCTTAAATGTTTTACTCACCGAAAAAGTGTTAAAGTCATTCATCCCATCATGCAACTCAATTATTTATTTCTTATCCTGAATGGCAAATGTACAAATGTTCCCGTTATTCCTTAACATTGTTAACATATAATAGCTGAACTAGCTTGAATACATATGGTTTTCGATAATAATATTTCTTGATATATTTTTGACGTAAATCTGAAAAAAAAGAAAAATTAAGTAAAAAATGGAATTCATCTTCAATTTCGGCTGAATTTCTTTATGTACACATTCTGTCATGTCTCGAAATATCATTAAGTCTGTCTTTCACTATTTAAAAATTATGCGACGATATTCTAATCCTTGAAAAATATTTGTGTACACTGAATAAAAAGGTTTACATAAATAATACCGTAAACATAAATTATCAACTAAATGTTGATATAAATAACCACGTGCTAATTTACTTATTTTAGATAACAATTCTAGCTTGTGTTCATCATTAAATATTTTCTATTATTTCAAATGTACAATTTTCCATCTCATTATTATAGCATAAGTACGCTAATCCTATTTTTTCTAATTCAGTTTTGATATGAATTTTCCATTCATCATTCGACTGAATTCTTTGTTCTAATCAGACTTTCACGACACATTTTTTTTGGTAGTTTTTAATTTCAACCAATACTTGAAAACTTTCAGTTCTCGTCGATATATAAAGGAAATTGTTCTAATTTAGAATACACAAAATCATCTCCTGTACATTTTTTGATTCCAAATAGACATAATACATCTCATAGTCATTTATATATAGACTATACAAGATCTGTGACAAAAATTCTCCTTGAAATAATCCGATCGTACTTGTGTAGTATTCTAATCAGAAAAATCCATCATATTTGATACAAGATTAAACATGTTCATATAAAGTTTGTATAATTTTCAACATTTTTCCATCAATGCCCTGTTTTATCAGTTTTGATCATAAACAACTTCTATCATTCAATTCAAAAACGCTTTTTGTAATCTATGAAGTAGCAACATCATCTATTCTTCTGTTTTAACGTTTTATCAATTAGTGTCTGCAGCAAATGAAATAGCACATATATCGTCGAAAAACAAGTCTAAATCCAAATTGAGCATCTGCTATAATGTTGTATTATTTATCCCATTTTAACAATCATTTATAAAGCTCTGATGAAAATAATTTACTCATACAGCTAATAAGTGTTACACCTCTGTAATTATTGGGATCATCAGCGTGACTTTTCTATAATCGATAACAAAATAATTTAAAATGTTATCCGCACTACAACTTTCTGATTGCTGTCACCACTTCGTCTTCAGTGATTGGAGTATCTAATTTTAAAAAATGTGTACTACCAGCAATACTTCAGGAGTCAATACATCAGTATTATCAATCTCGTCCGAGTTTAAGTTATTAATATGCGAATAAAATTCATCTTTACCAATATTTGATTGTGTGAGTTTGCCTTTCGGCTTCTCGGAAATGTTTACGTTTATTACCATCATTACACTGTGTGTCATTATCATGGAAATGAGGCTATGTTGTAGTCCAGAGCGTCCAACACTGCACCGATAGGTGTAACAACAGCCGATGGGAATTGGTCGGTATCAACATGCGTGCTCCCAATTGCCATCCCGATGCAGCACATATCATCAGCACCTGGTGTTTTCATGAAAACAGCTGAACCCGAATCCCCACGTGAGAAAAACGTCATGGTTGGATGGGCACCGCACACTTGATACTGATTGATCATCTGGACCTTCCCGTTACCTAGTGGCAAACTCAGTACTGTCGACAGTGGACGTACGTCTACTCCACACACGCTAACGGTCCCCCTTGTGACATCACTAGCGCTTCCAAACTGGAAAACCATATATGATGCACCAAAATGTTTCAAGTTCCTTTGAACTTTTCCTTTGTTGTACTCAGGAAGTTCTTCAAACCCTGTAATGCATAAATGTCAAACTGTTTCATAGACACAAGTTAAAAAGAAAGATAATTATATGCTCAAATGGGTTTTTCCGTTTTCCTTTCCATACAATATACACACGTCAAATATAACTGACCCAAACATATTTTCCTGTTAAATACTTCCAAACGATGCTACATTAGGAAAGTTAACAGGCATATGAACCTTGATAAGCCTGTCTCATTCGTTCCAAGCCGAAGGGTTTATATTATGAGAAAGCTGAATACCTTTGTCAAATTTGTGTACAAAACAAGTCCCATATTGCACTGAGACATGTATATTTATTAAACCTAATGGTGAAAGTAAGGCAGTCGTTGGGAATCGGCTACAAATTTACAGTCTTCTTTCTGATATGAATAACTAATTTCTCCGAAGTTTTATAGGCATACCTGCTTCTCTGTAGCTACTGCGTTTAGAGTTCGAAAACTGGCCTTTATTGGGAATTCTGTCAGTCAATTCAACGACAGCGGCATCAATACTTGGATTCCGTTGAGGATTGAAAATTGCTCTCTTGACATGCCCACATGGTTGTGGTGTCCCGTTGACTGTCGTTGTATCAGGGGAGGGCTGTACGACTTCAATTTCATTAGTTCCGTCATATTTGTAATCCAGTGGTATTGTCGTGTTATCAATATCAAACAGTACGTGCGCACATGTGAGAAAGCCAATCTTGTTATTGAATTTCACAAACGGACCAAGTGTGCCGCAAAGAAAATGAGGAGGATTCCCGACCGATGTCGACCGTCCAATATCGCAGCCCATTTTTAGAACATCATGGTAGGAAGTACTTGGGAGTGAACTGTATCCGCCAGGAAGGAAATAGCCTTCATGCACATCAACATCTATCGAGTCATCCTCCTCTATGTCTAACTGTTTCGGAAAATCTGGTTCATCTAGTGGCACTACGCCCTTTGTACTGCAGTAGAGAACAATACATGGTTTCTGGATAATATCCGCGCCATTGTTCCGGTATATCACTGGACTGACACCAATTATGTTTAAGTTGCTATGATCTCTCCAAAGCCTGTCCCGGTTTCTAGCAATGGCTTTTTCGGCTCGTATTTTGTCCTCGCCTGAAATCTTCATGTCTTTTTTGTAATCATCTGACTCTTTTGTATATACGTATGGGTTCTGCTTCATAACCAAACCTAAACTCTTATCTTTTTTGCAAGAAGCATTGGTTATTTCTTTTGAATACACAATGAAAACCCTTTCACGTTTGCCATCTTTACCTACGCGATGACCTGGAATAATGGCAGGCTCAAGTTCAGAATGTTCCCGTTTCAATAGTTGGGCTAGATTCCGCATGTACACTGTTTCCATTGGGTTGCGCAACTCTAAGTTTTTAAAACAGTATTTGATGTTATCTTCTCCAGCGCAGTTGATTAACTTGCTAACCATCTCTGTTTTATTCATAAACGTTGCTAGGTATAATGCCGTTGCTTTGCTGACAATTATTCCTTTCAACGCTTCTCCGAACACGTTTTCAGGAAGAGTACATTCTTCATTCCATTCCATCCCGTCCCATGTCTTCATACATTCGACCATATCTGCGGAGCCATACACAGCTACGATATGCAGTATCCTCTTTCTGTCTGTTGTAGTTAATCGTTTTTCCAACGTCTTGAAGTCATCGATGTTTTGCTTCTTAACGATTTCCAAGATGCAATCAATGTCTGAAATATGTATGGATATATCTAAACCATTGACGCTCTTACATGTAGCTTACTCAACATATGTATTATATTGTGCTATTTTGTTTTGGAATTTGTTATGATCAGATAAAATTATAAACGACAAATTGTGAAATTAAAGTTGACTGAGCAGTTCGATTTTATGTCTTAGTTCCGAAACATAAAGTTGAGTCTTCTCGATGGCTTTAAAGTTATAGTGCTTTCGTTGAGTTTATGTAAATTATATCTTTCAACGCCGTAAGAATATAAATGAATCGATTAACTGAATTGTCATCTTTCACACTTAAATATTTACATTTGCATGGCATTATCACTATATAGCCTCTTTGAAAGTTGTGTCGTTGATCGGACTTTAATTACCATGCAGCACGAAACACAATTCTTAGCGTATTAATACAACACTAACCAGCTTGACAATGTCATTGTAAATTTGTGTGCAAAATAAAAAAGTAGATAAAAAAACTTTTATTACAACAAAAACAATAGCAAGGTCTTTAATATCGTACAAAATGCACATCGGTTGAAATCACCAATGCCGTCAATGGAACCAATTTTAACACTCATGCAATTTTTCAGAAATATCGTCTGTTACACTGCACTGATCAACAGGGGTTCGTTACAAATGTCTGAAATACACATAATCTTTAGACCTACTGACACATATGTTACAGGCCTACTGATATGAGTCACAGCAAACATACACATTTCAGACATTTGTAACGAACCCCTGTGCTCCGTCGCAAGATCACTCACTTCAAACGATATCAGTTTCACGCGTCTCGCAGCCAAGGTTTCCTCAGTTTCTGATCACGACATGTCAAATAACGAGGCTGTTATAGAATCTACAGACTGTAGTCAGATTCCCATACAATCAACAAACAAATTCACGTCTGGATTCTTCACAAAATGAGCAAAGAAAAACTTTCGAATTAACTTCCAAAAATAACTCCCTTGTGGAGGTCAAGGTCGGATTTACGGTGTTCACTGTATTTATCCATGCGTGAAACTTGCTCCGGGGAAAAATTAAAACAATTTAAAATCTAACTCTCAGCTCAGATTTCTATTGATAAACTTAAATCACCCTATAGATATATCATACGCAATTGTATTGCTATTGAGTTGTGGAATAAAAGTGTTCGTTAAAATTACAAGGTACTTTTTTGTTTGCCAATCAGAACGCGACAACACGCTGTTCAAATTATTGAACGAAATTGTGTTGACTGTCGATAAGGCGGGCATTTTTAATTTTAAATATATAAATTATAAGTTAAAAAAGAACATAAGAGGCAGAGAAAACGTAAATATAAGTATTGAACTGTTTTTGTATGGTATTTATGATCTATTTGAAGACACAGCTTTGCAAGCAAACAAATCATAATGCGCGCTAGTGCATTATGATGTTTGCTTGCAAAGCTGTGTCATTCAAAAATATCATAAATACCATGCAAAAACAGTTCAATGCTTAAATACAAATACTGAATCCCCTCATTTTAGCAAACCACACACCAACTATTACGTGGCTACGGGTTATGTTTCTTGAGAAAATCAGTTTAAAGACAAGAGGTCTATGTCCTTAACCTATATTTTTGGTTCAATTATTTTCCACAAGGTGATACCATGCTAACCAGCTCAGATAAGCTAATACTAAGTGGTGTTTAAAAAGAGGTAACATTTGATAAATGTATCAAATTCGCTGCTTATAGAGATCAGAGAAGTCGAATGGGTAAACATGTCAAAAAAATAGTACCAGTGACATAGGTATATATTTTATATCTGCACTCATTAAAAAAAAGGTTGATGCAAAGTTTGATTGGAAGTTTGACATTTTTGCTTGTTTTAATTGAGAAATTAACATTTCTGTTGCCATGGAAACTAAATAAAAAAAAGACAGTCAGAACGAAAAATCCTTTTACTTCTCCGTTTCACTTTGTATATACAGAGAAAACAATGTGTTGTCTTTTTAAAAGATGTTCTCCTTCTTTTTATTTTTAGATTCGACTCTGTGATCAGAGTACGAAGAATAACTAGAGATTTAAAAGAAATAAATTACTGAATTTAAGACTACAGAAAATGAATCCTTACCTGGACTCTGTGTTGGACCTTCCCTTTTCTCGACAGTGCCGACTGCCTCCTGAACAATTGCCGTTGCTATGTTGGATCCTGGAGGTTTTGGTGGCTGCCGTACACCATACTCTGTGTCTGTGTCAGTCTCGGTCTTGATTTGCGTCTCACGGTCAGACGAATAAATACTGCTTCTTGACCTCGGAGTATCATTGACCTCTGATTTTGGCGACGGTGCCTCCCTTTCTGTCTCAATCTCCTCTGAAGTTTCCCCAATGACAACGGGCGCCATTTTTTGGTCCTGTGCTACAACAATTATTGGAGGTTTAGAAATGGTTGTTACAGTCTCGATTCCACTTACATGTAGGTCGCTACTGAAGTCTAAGCTCAACCGGAACCCACTAGTTTCTGTTCGAAGTGTGTCTTGGAAACGTTGATGTGCCTCTTGTTGTTTACTCTTGCTGTGCTGGAACGGGAGATCGTAAGCAAGCACACTCGGGACGGGAATCGGATCTAACTCCTCCTTGATTTGTGAGACTATATAAATTACGTGAGTAATCTTCACCAATTGAATGGACCGAATTTCCTGTTGACTCTGTCATTCCTGTCCTGATATCCACCAAAGCAGAGAAGCCATCTTCTTCATTTGTCTTGAATTTCTGACGACGTTATCAGGAACTGCTAGCACTGATGCTATTGAAAACAGGTCAAAGGTTAATTGAATATTCCAATGCTAAACAAGAGGCCCAGATAACCCGTATCGCTCACCTGGATATTTAAGCAGTCATAGCAAAATATTAAATAAATATTATACTGTACTACATATATTTCCAAATATTGGCTCTGTCTCTCAGCAACACCTTATAAGTCCCATTATCCTGTCCCCATTGGAATGGGGGCATGGTTTCTACAACATTGAACCATGTTGGACCAAGGATACTCTATATCGAATTAGATTCAGATAAAGCAATAGGATAAAGTAGGAAAAGGTCATTTTTATTTGCAAACTTTGTGAACTCCATCTAAGGAAGCTACCTGTTAAATATCACGACTCCATGCATTTCAAAAAAAGCTGTTTGCAGTTTTTGCTATAGTTGACCCCTATGTGACCTTGAAAGTAGGTTGAGGTAATTTAATATAGCCAATGTTGATGGGCTCCATCAGGTCGTTACCAGCCAAATATTATAATTCTGTGCCTTTAGATTATTCAGAAGAAGTAATTTGAAGTGTTTGACATATTTTGCACCTGTGACCTTAAAAGTACATTGAAGTTATATTCGCAAACCTTGTTAGGCTCAACCCCAAGAAGCAACCAGCCAAGTAATATGATTTTATGCATTTCGATCATTCAGAAGAAGTCGTTTGATAATTTGAAATATTTGACCCCCGTGACCTTGAAAGTGGGTCAAGATCAATTTCGATCTCAAACTTTGTTTGGCTCCTACCAACGAAGCTACCAGCCACATATTAAGATTCGATACCTTTTAGTTCTTCAGAAGAAGTCGTTTTAAGAATTTGAAACTTCTGTCGCATGTGACCTTGAAATGAAGTCAACGTCATTTTCGTTCTCCAAGTTTGTTGGGCTTTTACCACCGTAGCTACAAGCCACATATTAAAATTCTATACCTTTTAGTTCTTCAGAAAAAAAGTCGTGTTAAGTATTTGACACTTTTGACCTCTGTGACCTTGAAAATAGGTCAAAACCATTTTCGTTCTTAAACTCTATTGGGCTTTTAACAACAAAGCTACTAGCAACATATTAAGATTCTAAACCTTTCAGTTCTTCAGAAAAAGTAGTTTTAAGTATTTGACACTTTTGACCCCTGTGACCTCGAAAGCTGGTAAACGTAATTTTTATCTCAAACTTTTTTGGGCTTTTACCAGCGAAGCTACCAGCCACATATTAAGATTCTATACCTTTCAGTTCTTCGGAAGAAGTCGTTTTACTTACGTGTAATTGATAATTTTGACCCCTGTGACCTTGAAAGTAGGTCAACGTCATTTTCGTTTTCAAACTTTGTTTGGCTTTTAACAAATCTACCAGCCACCTATCAAGATTCTAAACCTTTCAGTTTTTCAGGAGTAGTCGCTTTAAGTAATTGAAACTTTTGACCCCTGTGACTTTGAAAGTAGGTCAAAGTCATTTTCGTTTTCAAATTTTGTTGTGCGCTAACCAACAAAGCTATCACTCAAATATCATGACTATAGGCCTGTTCATTCTTCAGAAGAAGTCGTTAAAACGAAAAGTTGACGGACGACGGACGACGGACGACGGACGACGAACGGTGTGATGGACGACAGACCCCGCACCATGGCATAAGCTCACTAGCCCTTCGAGCAGGTGAGCTTAAAATCAGACATGTTTAGTAATGTGAATTGAGTCGACATTTCCGGCAACATATATTTCGTGAAAACCTTTTGAATTTCATACTCTTAGAAACAAATTAGCTTTGTCAATGTCAAACATGTTATATCAGGTGGCATTCGCTTGATAGGTACGGTTGGGAGCAAACTTAACTTGGTATCTAGTGCACTTCGTAGTGCCCACGTAGTGAATAAGGAAGTGCACTTGACAAAACATATGAAGTGCACTCCAGTTGACTTCAGTGTTAACTCCAGTTAACTTCAGTGTTAACTCTAGTGCATGTCGATGTTACCCCCAATGCACTACAGTGTTTACCAAAGTTTACAAGATTGAAGTACATATTTCAATAATTGTTTATAATGAAATGGGTTCCTTTGTGATATGAAAATTGAAAGAGAGAGGAAAGAATCATTCAACTGAATATTTCATATCACATATTTTTTTATTTTTTTTATTATTTAAAAATTTCAGCTGAACATTTACATGTACACAGAGAATTTGTTAACTGTCTCCAGTGATTATAGAAAATCTATAGATAGCTGTATTATTTCAGAGGAAAAAGTTTAAAAGTACACTTTATCATAGTTAAATTCACATCACATTTCATATTCAAATCAATGTTGTAGTGTTAGGATGGGGGATCATTGTCTGTTATGTGATATGGTCAAATGTGGTAAGATTTCTTATAATTTTATACTTTTTATGAAAGGTTTCTCTATAACACGACATCAATAGAGTAATTCGCTTCTTTGCTTTACAAACAAGTGAAGAAAAGATAAAATTTCAGAAAAATCTTGGCATGGCACTATATAGATAAAAGGTAAAGATCAAGCTGAAGATTTGTAACTAATTTAAGTTCGTTAATCCCAAGTTGCCTTAAGAAAATACTATGAGTTAGTCTGATTTTGATTTATTTGGTCTATATGTACACATAACAGGTATATGTACAGGCTGATGGTTGAATCAGAAAATACAACCCAAACCACCAAATCAACAGGTAAGATACCGTGGCTGTCCCTTTGTCAGAAAAAAATAGTGACTTTGACTCTATAATAGTGTTTCACACTACCTTTTAAATCCCTCTAATGGTTTATAAACTGGGTGTTAATAGTCAACACTAATTGATAACACACCCAAGCATCAATTATTGGATCACTGAACCATGATAGAGTCGTTTCTACCTGTACGTTCAGTGGTCCATAATAGCCACAGGGCACAATAAAAGAACTAGAAGGTTAATTAGGAAATACATTTTTGAAAATTTCAAAATACATCAGGAAGGATTATGAGAAGGTTAAATCAATAAAGCAATATGTTAATACTTTTTTGAAATCACACTCAAATATGTTCCTAAAAGAATATCCAAGGACTTGGAGCAGTAATCATGCATAGTTAATTGATCATTTTTTTATACACAGAATTAAATATATATATAAAAACATAAAAAAAATGGTACACACAAAAAAAATGTTATTTTTTATGCATAAATCATCAACTCTTTGGATAGGGGATCTGACAAAACCATTAGGTGTTTATTTTGATTGGATGATGCAAATGTTTATTTTTTTTAATAATTTTTAAAGTTTATTCTATTTTAATATTTCATTTTCATAGAGGACATGTAGTTAAATATATTTTCTTACTTAAAACAAAGAGAGTGAGAGAGAGAATTTCTACAGCTGGTGTGTATACAATATACAGTGCTTTGTCCACCCCCCAATTCGGATACCTATATATATTTAATTGTTACTAAATAAATGTTTTGTTGAAATTCAGATCTTCGTTCCTGTATAGTAGTATAGCATATTATAGAATAATATTTTTTCTTATTCACAGTAATAGTTACCTACATGAGCTTTCTTATACAGAAAAGGTTTCACTATAATATACTTATAATATCATGATAGATTTGTATATTTAATGAGACGTAATACTAGTACAGTAATACCTATAAAGGAACTTCATAGGTGATTATGTCTTTAAGACAAAGTATTATCAACTTTAAACCACCAATACATGTATATATACTGTATGTGCCATAGACCCAAGTTGGTGCATTTGCTAATAATTTAATAGGTCATCACGCTCTAAAGTTATTATACTATTCTCCTGAAAAGGATACGTCTTAAATCATATTAAATATTTGAATATGTACCACCTAATATTTTATTTACATATTGATTTATTGAGCAGACGGGAGTGGAGAAAATCATAGTGTGTATAAACTGATGAAAAGGCCATACATAATATGATAAAGAAAACTACCGTGTGAACTGTTGTTAGCTCCAGTGCACATTGATGTGAACTCCAATGCACATCGATGTGAACTCCACTTCACTTCAGTGTTAACTCCAGTGCACAAGCTAGTGAACTGGAATTAAATTTTCTTGTTAACTCCAGTGCACTAGGCTACCAAGTTAAGTTTGCTCCCAACTGTATATCTATGAAACCTTTTGGATCGTGCCAAGTTATAAACTTAACGAAACACTTGCTAACTGACAAACAATCCCTGCGCTGTGACGGTCACAACAAAACCGACAGCTGACCATTAGACTGTGACACTACAGCCTGCAGATAGCCAAAAGCAAATCAATGGACTTTGACTACAGTCAACAGATGCTCGACAGCTAATCAAAAATTGGCGACTAAAGTCCGAAAAGGATGTGACAAAAGTCTGCAGATGGTCGACAGTTGGTCAAAAGGCGATAACTACAGTCTGCAGATCGTCGACATCTGATCAATAGGCCGTGTCAACAGTTTGTAGATGGTCGACAGTTAATCATAAGGCTTTGACAACAGTCTGCAGATGGTCGATAGATGATTAAAAGACTGTGACTTCAGTCTGCAATTAGTCGACATCTGATCAAAGTTATGTGACTTAAGTCTGCAGAAGGGCGATATTTATTCGTTAGGCTGTGAACTTTTGTCGGCAGATTGTCGACAGTTGATGATAAGGCTGTGACAACAGTCAGCAGATCTTCAACAGATGATCATAAGGCTGTGACAACAATCTGAAGAATGTCGACATTTGATCATAAAGTTGCGACTTCAGCTAGAAATTAGTTGTAAGATAATAATACGCCTGTGACAACAGTCTGTAGATCATCGACATTTGACCATAAAGCTCTGACTCCTTTCTGCAAATGATCGACAGATTATCAAAAGGCTGTGACTACAGTCAACAGATTGTCGATAGCTGATCAAACGGTTGTGAGATTTAGTCAGCAGATCGTCGACAGCTGATCATAAGGCTCTGACATTGGTAGCAGATCATCAATAGCTGATCAAAGGGCTGATGAGTTTTAGTCAGCAAGATCGTCGATAGTTGATCAAAGTTTTGTGACATCAGGCAACAGATCGCCGGCAGCTGATAAAAGGGCTTTGACCATAGACTTGTGGTTGTTAACAGCTGATCAAAAGGCTGTGACAATAGTCTACAGATGGTCGACAGCTGATTGAAAGGCTGCGGCTAAAGTCTGCAGATGGTCGACAGCTGATCAAAAAGAGGTCAATGCAGTGAGCAGATGGTAGGCAGTTGATCAAAAAACGGTGTCTATAGTCTGCAAATCATCGAAGTTGATCAATAGGATATGACTATAGTCAGCTGATCATTGACAGCTGATCATTTGACCGTGGTCTACCAAACGCCGACAGTTTATCAAACAGCTGAGGCTTCAGTCGTCAGATTGTTATGACCCCATCCTCTCACAATAATTTATAATACACTATGTTATTTGAAAACATATTCATAGAACTATAGAAGAAAGAGAAATGTAGATATTCTATGTGTGAGTGTGTTTTAAAAATATCTTTCAAACATTAATCAAAAGGTTTTGTCTGCTGCCTCTTGTTTTAATAATTAGATGATTGGCTCTATAATCAAGCACATATAAATTTAGCAGTCAATTATCTGAAACGTTGATGAGATGTTTTTGTTTTAATATTTCAGTACTTAATCCTCAACGCTGAGCGGGGCGAAGCGCTTTTTTATGTTGTTGAAATAAAGCCTGACCCTACACCCACAAGATCCGCCCCTGACATAATATAGCACGATAATTATCTCGCTTTAGTGATAATGACGTTATCTCGCTATCATGATGACTACAGTTTGGCAATTCAAATCTTGCGATGGACTTTTACACTTACGTTTTAGACATGCACATCATTTCATCTAATCTAGCAATATGTTTATATACTTACTTCATGCATATGCCGTATCATCAAGGGTTATATCATTGTTATTTTATGAAGGAAGAAAACTATGATAAACTGTAATACCATGTGTCCAATCCGTTGTTCAAATTCAGCTGGCAATAAAGAAAGGGTAAGCATCCAGGTATAAACATACAAAATGATTGTCAAACTCGAAAGTGCAAATCCCTCACCTCTCCGTAGTTTTGACCCACTTTTCCTTCTTTCCACCTTGTGTCAGTAATGAGATATAAGTGGCGTGTACAACTATATATAACTATATACGACTCCCGGTTTTACACCAGATGGTTCTGCGCATGGTAGCTAATAATGTAAACGTTTCTGCAAATGGTAGCTAATAATGTAAACGTTACTGATTGGCGTATTCGTGAAAGGTATACCTGAACAAAAATGTCAAATCGATGATATCACAATGATAACAGAGCGGCTATCGAGTTTTAACAGGTTGACATACATGTATACTGAATGTCTCTAACGAAATATAGCATTCCTATGTTTGGTGTTGTTGTACGAAAATTAACATGGAAATCGTAGGGCACATTAATGAAAGTGCATATACCATGAAATAAAGCATATTTACAATCTGCCGGCTTGCGACTTTCACTCGATTAACACATCACCTAGAATTGGAAAATGTAAGGAATGACCGAGGCAAGCCTTTAATCCTAGGACAAGTGGAGACCTGGGCAATTTTGGCCCATTATCCTAGGACAAAAAAAAAACAAGAATGATTAAGACAACTTGTTTGAGACACATAGACGCCAGTGATAACATCAGAGATATCGAAGCGTGCAAGTGAGCCAAGCATACTGGTGATCGGGACAGGAGTGTCACTGTATAGATTAGCATGTCGATCATTGAACAATATATTAATTTTTGCATAGTTGATTTATTGTATTCACCCACAATATTTCCGTTCCAACAACACAACAAATATATAACTAAATAGAATGTGATAAGCTTAGATTTCAAAAAAAACCACCGAAGCACAAATATGTACTCTGGTAGAATTAAAAAGGTACTAATTATATACATCGTTAGGACGTCCAGGTTAAAATATAATATACGGGAAATATTGTAAGGGAGAGAGGGTCAAAAGAACAGGGTCAGGATCTAGAGAACGGGGAGTGTACCTAGAGTACGGGGAGGGTACCTTGAGTAGAGGAAGATATCTCGATTATAGGAAGGGGACCTAGAGTACGAAGCGGTTATCTCGATTACAGGGAGGCGACCTAGAGAACGGGGAAGATACCTCGATTATAGAAAGGGGACCTAGAGAACGGGGAGGGTACATTGATTATAGAGAGGGGACCTAGAGTTCAGGGAAGGTAACTCGAATATAGGGAGGGGACCTAGAGTAGCAGGAGGATACCTTGATTATAGGGAGGGGACCTAGAGTTCAGGAAATGTAACTCGAATATAGGGAGGGGACCTAGAGTAGGGGGAGGGTACCTCGATTGTAGAGAGGTAACCTACAGTTCGGGGAAAGTAACTCAATAGAGGGAGGGAACCTAGAGTACGGTGATGGCACTGCACTGTGTTGTATCTTTGAGCAAGATACTTTATTCCGCTTGTTCCAGTCTACTCAGCTGTAAATGAGTATGTGGTTGGGCAGTGCTAGAACTGTTGAATGCTAGCTGTGAGCACCGAAATGGCAGCTTGTGAACCGCTTTGAGACGACCTACGAACTAGCTAGTTGTAATAAAGCAGTATATACATGTAAGAACCTCGAATTATTTTTTTAAAGTAAAAATGCATATAGTCAGAACTGGCCGGATGAATTAATATTACCTTGTGCAAATGCTGTATTTTATGTATGTATGTTAAAACATGTGACACTTAAATAAACTATTTTACTTACTATTATTAGTATTAATAGCTAGTCAAACGGTTGCGTCTTTAGTCAACAGATCGTCGACAGCTGATCAAAAGGCTGTGACTACAGTCTGCAGACAGTCGACAGATGATCACAAGGTTGTGACTACAATCTGCAGACGGTCGACAGATGATTACAAGGTTGTGACTAAAATCTGCAGATTGTTTGGACCCCAGCCTCTCACAATAAATTACAATACATATAAATATAAAGTTATTTGAAAAATAATCATAGAACAGAAACAAGTATGAAAAATTTAGATAATTTGTATGTGAGAGTGTTTTAAAAATATCTTTCAACATTTGTCATGTTTTCTGCTACCTTTTGCTGTTTTATCAATCAGATACTTGTCTCTATAATCAAGCACATATAATAGTTAGAGGTCAATTATCTAAAACCATGATACATTTTTTTTTTAATATTTCAGTACTTAATACCCAACGCCCAGCGGGGCGAAATGCTTTTTTATGTTGTTGAAATATAGCCTGGCCTTACACCCACTAGATCCGCTCTGCTCCTGACATGATATAGGATCCCGCTATCATGATAATTACGGTTTGGCAAATCAAATCTTCCGATGGACTTTAACACTTACGTTTTAGATAGGCGTTTATTTCGTCATATCCAGCAATGTATTTTTATATACTTACTTCATACGTATATGCCTGTTAGCATTCTTATCAGTAAATGTATCAGACGACTATGATAAGCTGTAATAATCGATAATGATATCGCAATGTTTAAAACAGAGCTATGATGCAATTTAGTATTGTTTTTGTACTTTGACCGAGGGTTATAGGAGACTAGTTGGTCTCGAGATCTGTTCTCTCTCCTATTGCACAGTTGTCGTCTTATATCTCCATATCTTACAGAGCGTCGAGCGAGTTTAAACTGGTTGACATATGTCAAGTGTCTCAAGTACAATATAATATCCATATTTTTTATTGATAGAATGAAATTAACATGGAAATCATAGGGCACATTCAGTGAATTTGTGTAGAAGTATTCTGATAAATATGTAGAGGTTAGTGAACTTTAGAAGAAATATTCTCTTCATATCATCGAGTTTAGTGAACTCTTTTAGTAATATTCTGATTCATATGTAATATATAAAGGTTAGTGAACTTGTGAAAAATATTCTGATATATAGATAGGTGTTAGTGACTTTATGTTCAAGTATTCTGATACATATATATACTAGCGGAAAAAAGAAACTGTGCATGCGGAGAATTGTTATAGAACATGTATTATCAACTGTATATACATGAAAATTCACATGACAGAGTATGACACATACACACTATCCGTGTGTCCTTGACAGTTTTTCCCGTGCTGTTTGCTCTCTATAGGCGTTGACCAGTTTGCATGTTTTTCTCGTCCAGCCATCCAATTCGACAATGAACGTTTATTTTCCAACTGTTGGGTCACTATGTTGAGACCAGTGAACAGTAAAAACAGCATTATAACGTTTTAATTTTTGATAAATGCTATGCCGAAAATGACCGCCTCCAGATTATTGGTATGCTTCAAGCTGGTATGGGCCAAGCCGTTGTCTCTACACGAATTCATGTCCATCGAAACACAATCCGGGATTTGTGGAGACGACGTCAACAGTTTGACCACGTCGGCGATCGACCTCGTGCGGGACGTCCGCGTGTGACGTTACGTCAACAGGACCACCATATTCGGCTTATCCATTTGAGAAATCGCTTCCAAACGGCAAGTTTGACTGCACGGACAATCCCTGGGTTGCTACAGTACCTATAAGCCTGAGAACTGTACGAAACCGATTGCGTTAACCAGCTATCCGTCCGCGACGTCCTGCAATCCGCCCAGTTCTTCTGCCACGTCATCGTGTAGCACGTCTGGACTGATGCAGAAGGCGATTTACTCGACGGGATTGGGCAGGCATTTTGTTTACGGACGAGTCGCGAGTCTACCTGGATAGTAGTGACGGCCGTTCCAGAGTGTATCGTCGCGTTGGAGAGCATTTCCGTGACGCATGTGTGGTACAACGACGTTCTTTCGGCGGAGGCAGCGTTATGATTTGGGGCGGCATCACAGCCAACGGGAGAACGCATCTGGTGGTTGTTAACGGGAATTTGAACGCGCTACGTTACCGTGACGAGATCCTCCGGACCCACGTCGTTCCATTCGTGCAAGGGCAGCAACGTCACATTACGCTACAGCAGGACAACGCCAGGCCACACACAGCTCGTGTCGCTATGGACTTTCTGGCCCAGCAGAACGTTGACGTGTTGCCCTGGCCTGCTGTATCCCCCGATCTGTCGCCCATTGAACACATCTGGGATGAAATGAAGCGCAGATTACGGGCATTACCTAATCAAC